TAGTGACTTGGGGTAATCTCAAAAAGATGCCATTGTTTTAATGAATGGAGCAGGTCAAACATAGTAGTTTTAAAAGGGGTGATTTTTAAATTAATAATTTTGTTTTAAATAAGACCTTTCCTATGTATATGTGTAGAAATGTAAGTATAATATATGGAATTTATATTAATGGAGATTGTATATGACCATTTTACTTGACAAGTTGGGAACTCGCTTTGTAGACCAGGCTGGCCTCAAACTCACAGAGATCCACCTGCCTCTGCCTCCCGAGTGCTGGGATTAAAGGTGTGTGCCATAAATTATGATAATTTTATTACTTTTTTGAGAATTTCATACATGCGTACAATGTATTTTGATCATATTCACCCTGAACTCCTCCCCTAACTCCACCTACATCCACTACTTACTCCCAAATCCCTATTATTTTTTTTTTATGTCCTCATTTTTTTAATAACCCACTGAGTCTGATTTGTGCTCCCATAGTCTCATGGGTGTGGTGTTATCCACTGGAGTACGTCAACATACTATGGGCCAGATCTTTAAACTGACTCTCCCTTCCCCAGCAGCCATCAACTGCCAATAGCTTCTAATTTGGGGGTGAAGTCTCCTGAGCTTCTCCCCTCCATGCTGGAGTGTAGACTGACTTGACCTTGTGCAGGTCTTGTATAGGCAACCACAGCTGTGTGAGTTCATGAGTGCAGCGGTCCTGTCACGACCAGAAGACAGTTTCACCCCAGTCTTTCCTGACCTTTGGCTCTTATACTCTTTCCACCTCCTCTTTCATGATGGTCCCTGAGCCTTGGGGCTGAGGGGTGTCATATAGGGATCCGATTTATAGATGAGCACTAAAAAGAATGATCTTTTAAACTGAGCAAATACTTATTGAAATAATTATAAGAGGAAGGGCAGCTTTCTGGTTATCTGTCAAAATAATCACAATCTAATTAAGAACCTTATAAAGTACTTAAAAGAGATATATAATTAATGTCAGTAAAGTGTTTCTCAGCAAGTAATGGAAAAGGAAGAAATTGAGAAATATACATGTGTATGTAAGTGAACACACACACACACACACACACACACACACACGATGACTTCTTCCTCTTTCCCACTGAGTTGTTAACGTTTCCCTGACTTTCCAATTTCTTTTCTCTGGCCAGAATTAGGCTATGTATATGGGAAACACAGCTAATCCCCTGGTTATGGGAGTAAACTGGTCACCCCACTATAGTAAGACCCACCTTGTCTTTCTCCCTTGGTGGTTGATGTCTTATCTGTGATGGCTTCAGATGAGAATCAAGCCAGCACCACTAAAGCTCTCAATATACATGTGCTGAAGACAAAAGAGTGTTTTGAACTAGTCTGTTATAGATTATGTGTAAAATGACTATCAAAAGCATCAGGTATTAAAGTCTTGGCTGCAGCTTATGGGCTTTAGGAAGTGATTAGACTATAAGGGCTATGACATCATCAGTGGATTCATTTAGTGATTGATTCATAATTGGGTGGCATTACTGGGAGGTGATGAAAAGGTAGAAGTGGGTCTAGTTGGAGGAAGTGGGTCACAGGGTGGGGATGGGAATTGAAGACCATGTCTTCTCTCTGTCCCCTTTCTCTCTCACTCTGCTTCCTGGCTGCCTTGAAGTGAACAGCCTCCTTTGTCACATGCTCCCATGCCATGATGTTCCACCTCACCACAGGCTCATTGCAACAAAACCAGCTGATGGTGAACCAAAACCTCTAAAACTAAATATTTCTTCCATGAAGTTGTTTTCCTCAGATAACTACCACATGGTTGCTACAATTTCCACTGACCTTCAAAGTGAGCACATGAATCCTAGAAAGAGGCATAAGAAAGTGCAAGAAAATAAAACTTTTTTTTTACATTTATGAGAGAGAGAGAGAGAGAGAGAGAGAGAGAGAGAGAGAGAGAAACACAAGCCAGAGATCAACTTCAATGTCACTTTTCAGGAGTTATCCATCCACCCTACCTTTTGAGACAGGGACCCTTACTGGCCCGAGGCTCACCTCACTATCTTGGCTAGCCAGTGAACTTCGGGGATCCACCTGTTTCTGCTTTCCCAACACTGGGATTACAAGTGCATGTTAGGCTTTTTTGTATGAGTGCTGGGGATGGAACTCAGGCCTTCATGCTTGAATAACAAGCACTTTAGTGATTGAGCTATCTCACCAGCTTCTTATATTTTATTTTTATTTCATTCTTTTAAAAATATCTATTTGTGTGAATGCTTTCTCGTGAATATACTGTACAGGAGCTCATGTCCGTAACTTAAAAGTAAAAAATGCATATTGGGGTATATGCTCAAATATTTTTTAACTGATGAAGCATACAGCTGAAAAAGATTTGGGACAGAACTCTGGCTAGGTAGGGTATAAATATATTAATAAAGCAGGTGGGTTAAATTTCCTCAGATGCCCAAGCACAAGGGTGACTGAAGCCTCAGGACACTTTTGTCTATTCTGCCTAGGAAAAGTGAAAAGGATGGTCTTAGGGGGAAATGGGCCAACACACCCCAGAATCCATCTTTGAGGTCTGGCAAGACTAATAGATTCTTAACAACTCTTGGAGAGCTTTGGTTGGTCCATTAAAGGAGTGGCCAATGCAACACCCAATGGCATCTGTCTACTTTATCCTCAACTTTAGCTTGTAGTAATGGGTCTGCCCAGCATCCACTTAGAAATTGCTAGAACTTTAAATCCTCCCATTCCCCAACCTCGATGCAGTCCTGCCAGGTATTGAAATGGGGGCATCCTTCCCAGGTTGTGCCAGTTTGTTAGATCAGACACAGACACAAATCAAAAGCTCCCTGAACCCGACTTGATCTTGTGTCCTCCTGGTCTCATATAGCCTCTGCCCCTGCAAGGGTTCCTGAGGTTGGTGGGGGTGAGACTGAATGTCACCCTGTGTTGGAATGACCATGATTGCATGTTACTTCTGCCTCCATGGAAATTGAGGCCCAGATTCCTCCAACCTTTCAAAGGCAAGGGACTCTGAGCCGCAAGTGCCAAGCACTCTGCCCTTTGCAGTCACCAGAGAGAAAGCACCCCAGCTGCTGTTTATGCCCCTGGTGGTAGTGAGGTGCACCTCTTTGGGGCTTGGACTTCTGTAACTCACAGCAGCACATAGACATTAGCGCCAATAGTACATGGAATCCTTCTCAAGCTGACCCCACTCAGGTACAGTGGGTGACCAAATGTCTACATGTTCCAACCCAAGGGAGGGAATCTGTTAGTTCAAGACTTTCCGGAACATTTTTTCTTGTATTTGTTCCATTCAGTTCTTCATAAGCTGTTAATTATGTCGATGGAAGAACATGATTACTTTTTCAGGATAAAAGGAGATTTGCTGTTCTCTGGTCTTCCCTAGGCAATATACCTCTTTATTCCCTTGCTGTTCTCCATCTGCCCCTCCTCATTTTTGAAAATATTTGCTTGCTTTTAGTTCTAAGACATTGTTCTAGCCTCATGTGGGCTTCAGAGCCTAACAGGAAGAATACTGCATTGGGCGAATACCACTCATTTTAGTTTCTTTGTTGAGACAAGGTCTTACACATATGCCAAGCTGGTCTTGAACTCATAATGTGTCCAAGGATGGTCCTGCCTCCATCTCCTAAGTGCTGGACTTAACAATTGTCTACCACCATGCCCAGTTCTTGCAGTGCTAGGGATTGAACTCCTGGCTTCAAGCATTTTAAGTAGGCAAGTACTTGGCCAACTGAGCTACACTCCAGCCATTAGTTTTTGTTCTTACAAGTCACTTCAACAGGGCAGGAGCAATGCCGGAGGAAGCAAGCTCTGCTCTTCCCCGGAAAGGCACACCAACAGGGGCACTTCTAGCTTTCCAGGCTTTTTTCTCTTTTCTCTTTGTGGCTGCAGGGGGAGGCGTCTCTCTCATATTCATTCTGACTCATTTTGTTGCTCCTTTCTCCCAAAAGCCTGAGACGTATTTGCCAGGCATGTGTGACACAACTGCATATTTTGTCTCTGCTCTCTGGTTACGCCTGCAGGATTGTTAAGTAAGCCAGCTGCCACAGCATCACTCACTCCAGATCATTTTCTTTCTCTTCTGCATCTCCAACAAACCAACTGGCACAATAAAAGGTTATATTTATCTGTTACGCCCCTCCCAAAAAAGACAGACTATTAGAGTAAAAGAAGATGAAAAACATATACTTTGAATACGTAGAGATTTTAAAAGACCATGAAATAACTTGGGAGGCAGAGGCAAGTAGATCTCTGTGGATCGAGGCCAGCCTGGTCAAGTTCCAGGCCAGCTGAGGCTACAGGGAGACCCTGTCTCCAAAACAAAAACAAAAATAAAAACAAAACAAAAGACCATGAAGTAATAAAGAAAGAATTCACCATCAAATACCAGAAAGTCATACAGGGGAGAAGAAAATATAATTTTCTGCTCTGTGAATCAGTTCTCCCCTATGTTCGTCATTCTGCTCCTGGAAGGCTCTTATTTCACCTTCATCGTGTTGTAGGTAATTCTCTACATAACTTGCTTTCCATTAAATTTTGGTTACTCTGTGATAAAAGGCTAGTTTTATTTATCTCTGTGTCTCCAGTATCCAGCATAGTGCTTAGAAACCAGTTGGTGCACGATAAAAGTTACTAGTGAGATGGAAAAGGAATTGTTTCTCAAAGAAGAGAGAGAAAGAAAGAGGGGGGAACTGTTGAATGAGTGAATTGCAAACTTAAATAACTAATCACAAGGTGTGGGAATTCCCTGGGTCATAAGAGAAGGTGGTCATCTACTGCTGTAATGTCATACTTTGCCTTGATTTCTGGGAAAGATACTGAATATAGGACATTGATGGGGGGTGGGGATGAGACATTACAGATGATGAAATTTAGAGCTATGTATTTTGCACCCTCCCCACAGCCTGTAAGAATGAAAGCAAGTTCAGTTAATCACCAAGTGTGAACAGCCTTTGAATTTACCAGGAACAGTTTGGGGATTTTTTTTTTCTTCTTTAAATATAGAACACATCACGAATTTGCGTGTCATCCTTGTGCAGAGGCCGTGCTAATCTTCTCCGTGTTGCTCTAGTTTAGTATATGTGCTCCCAAAGCAAGCTTGATTTGGGAATATTTGATGAATGAAAGAAGGAAAGGCATCAATTCCAGAAGGCAATTCAATGGTCTAGAGCTCCAGCAGGTAATTTAGTGATGTTTGATAAGAATTGCAAGGAGAGTGACCCAACATTATTGTCATCAGACAAACAGGAAACACTCAGCATCACTACAACCTCACACCTCAAGATGCATTTTAGAGGTGGACACTCTTTTGTGACAAGACTCAAGAGGCCACAGAGGTATGCAGGTGGTGAGTTGTAATCCAGTGCTCATTGTACACTCCAATGTTGCCACACTTAGCATTAAGCATCTCCATCAGTATAAAGTTCCCCAAAGGGTTAGTATTCTGTTAGTGTGGAGGAAGATGGAATTCAAGATTTTTTTATATCTTCTGAAACAGATGGTTATAATTTAAGCTTCATGAAATACGGGGTGGTGGGGGTGAAGAAAAGCAGTCAAAAAACCTGAAAGTCCTAGTTTCTTGTTTTCCAGGCCAAAGCCTGCAGGATAATTGTATAAATAGTTAGTTCTGAGACTCTCTTCTATTTTCTTCCTTCCTGGAGATAATCTGCAGCGTGTCTGTCTGGACACATCTAATGGTTAGCCAGATGGCATTTCAAGAAATGCTGTTTCTAAAAGCCTGAGATCTTGTCGGATACATTGGAATGATCTCGAGCTGGTGGAGGGAAAATAGTATAAGAGTCACAGAGTGAAAGAAACAGAAGATAAAGAAGGCTACAGGAAACACATTTAATTTAAAAACTGGAAGCAACAGTTGAGGGTAACACAAGAAAAATCTTATATGTGTTAAATCAGCCACAACTCGCCATGCAATGCCCTTCTAAGTCCATCTTAAACATCATCAGCCTATCTCAGCAGTAGTATACGTACTATATGAGGGCTTAGAAATGTTTCACAGTCAGATTTGTTAACTGTAGGACTTTCCTAACTGAACTTGAATAGGTTGCAAAGCACATATGATTCAAGTGGGTCCATGTTCAGCTCAGGCTAGCGGCAGACTTTGGTGTGTCTTCTGTACAGCGCTGATTTTACAGAAATGCAGAATGCAAGAGTTATGAGGTCATGGCAGCTGCCACTGGGATTTTAAAGGAAAGTTTAGGAAGCCAGGCAGTGTGCTGCAGGGCTGATGTCCCTATAAGCAGCCCTTGACAAGGTGATACATAACAAAGCTCTGAGAATGAAGATGAAGCTGCAGGTGGGGGTGGGGGCCACGGGAAGATGGAGGGTTCAGTAGTGTATAAATTGTTCAGGGAAACCTTTAGGTAGAATGCAGAGAAGCCCAAGAGAGTTGTCATATGGCTGTGAGCAGCAAAGCCTGAGGGGCAGCTGGTCAGTCCTCCAGCCCACTATACAGCCTAGCACAGTATTCCCAGGACACAGGTTGCTTCAAAATTTAACAGTTCCTCTGATGAGTTTTCCTCTTGCTTTGAGTTGACCTGTCTTTACCATTTTCTTCCTTTTTGGAATAGGAATGTTTAACCTGTGACTTTTTCACTGTTATATCTTGGAAATATGTAACTTTCTTCTTCCTCCTCCTCCTCTTCTACTTCTTCCTGCTCCGTATCCTCCCCTTCTCTTGAGTTGTTTGTGTTCCAAGTTCTGTACTTTTCTTTTTTATTTTTTTGATAGGATATTCCCATGAAACCCAGGCTTGCCTGAAACTTACTATGTAGCCAGTGTTAGCTTTGAACTTAGATACTCAGATCCTTCTACCTCAGCCTCCTCATTGCGGGGCTTACAGGAATGTGCCATCACTCAAAGCTAGACTTGAACCTTTGAGCAATGCTGGAACTCTGGGAGATAGAATTAAATGCATTTTACATTGTGAGATGGACATGAACCTTGGAGGGTAAGGGGTTGATGCAATGGTGAATGTCCCTGTGATGATTAATATTGAAAGTGAAATTGAATAGCTATACAATCACTTGGTAACACACCACTAGTGTTTCTATGAGGGGGTTTTCAGAAAGGTTTAATAGAAAAGGGAAGGACCTACCTGGCATGTGGATGGCATATCTGATGGCTGGAGTTCTGGACTGAATAAATGGAAAAAGAGCTGATCACCAGCCTTCATCTTGCTCTGATCCCGTGGATTCAATGTGATCAGCTGCCTCACCCTCCTGTCGCCTTGCCTTCCCCACCATGATAGACTGCACCCTCAAACCCTCTTCCCTTAAGTTGCTTCTTATCAAGTATTTAGTCATAGCAAAAATTTATCCTTCAAAAGTCCATGTGTCCATGAGTTAATGAGTTGGTCCCCAAGTCAGCAGAGATTAGAAGTGCTGTGGACCTTCAAGGGGTGGGGCTTGGTGAGATCTAGAGGTATGGCCTTGAAAGCAATTGAAACTGACTGTTCCCTCCTCCTTGCTTCCTAACATGAGGTAATCCACTCCATCATGCACTCCTCCTGTGATACGCTGCCCTTGTTAGCAACAAAAAGGTCACCTGATCATGGACTGGAACTTCCAAAACTGTAAGATGAAATGAATCTCTTTTTATAACTTAATTGTCTCAGATATTCCATTATAGTAACACAAAGCTGGGCAAAAAAAGGTTGTTTATATTTGTGATGATTAGTTTTAATGGCCAATTTGACACAATCTCGAATCACCTGGAAAGAGAGTCTCAGTGAGGGACTGTCCACATCAGGTTGGATTGTGGCTTGTCTGTGGGAGATTATCTTGATTATGTAATTGAAGTAGGAGGACTGACTCCCTGTGGTTGGCACCATTCCATGGGCAGGGGTCCTGAACTGAAAGTGTAGGGAAAGCAAGCTGAGCACAGGCATTCATACATTAAGTCATTGTTCTCTGGTCTTTATTTTCTGAACCTTTTAAAAACTTTAAAAATTTTTTTTTAATTTCTAATTCTCTAGAGCTAGAGGTACAGGTGGTTGTGAGATGCTTGATGTGGGTGCTGGGAACTTAGGTCCTCTACAAGAGCAGTGTGCACTCTCAACAACTGAGCCTTCTCATTGCTCCCTGTTTTTTTTTTTAATTTATATATTATTATAGTTTTAAGTCCTATCCAGTCAAGCATTTCTATCCCTTGGTGTAAGTTCATCCACTGAAGTCTAGTCAGCCTATCTAGAGTCATTCACTTAAAGAATGTCTACTCTCCCTCACCCGACAATAATCATTTGCCAATAGTTCCTAGGCTAAGGTTGGGGACTGCTGCCCATTTCCCCAGTTCCATGCTGGGTGTCTGTCTGATTGAGTCAGTATGGGTCTTGTGCATGCTGTCACCATTCCTGCAAGTTCATATGAGCAAGTTTCCAGTGACCTGGAACCCTATGTTTCCTTATGTTCATGTACCAACCCTGGCTCTTACAATCTTTCCGCCTCCTCTTCCACAATGGTCCCTGAGCTGTGGATAGGTGAGGTTTAATATAGGAGTCTTATCCAGGGACACACTCTCTGCAGTCTCTTATTCTCTAAAACTTAGCCAGTTGTGGCATTCTGTGTGCACCATACTCTGTTGTATGAGGAAACTTCGCTGGTGAGAATTAAGGGATGAATTAGTATTCTCTCTACACCCTTTTCTGCGCTGTTCCATGAGCCTTAGGTATAGAGGTTCCACTGTAGATGTGTCACTTAGGGCTGAACATCTCTCAGACATATATTCTCTGTGTGTTACCAGTTGTGGAACTCTGTAATAGCCTCCATCTGTTGCAAAAAGAAGCTTCTTTGATTAGTAGTATATGGTACATTTGTCTATAAATATAAGGATCCATATTTAGCATATGGTAAGAAATTTCATTTGTCTAGAGATATGACAGAGATAGGACTTTCTCTAGGAACTATGACCTCTTCACCCATGTGTATTTGGCTATATTTACAGTTCCCCCCCATATATTTTTTTATTTTATGTGTATAAGTGTATTGCCTGCTTGTGTATAAGTGCACCTGTGTCATGCATTGCTCTCAGAGGTCAGAAGAGGGCATTGAAATTCCCTGGAACTGGAGTTTCAGATGGTTGTTAGCCACCGTGTGGGTGCTAGGAATCAAACCTGGGTTATCTGCAAGGGCAGCCAGTACTCTGACTGCTGAGCCATCTCTCCAGCCCCTGGTTCTCTGTTTTTGATTATGGATGTGAAGAGACCAGCTTCTTCAAATTCCTGCCACCTTGACTTCCCTGCAATGATAGATTGCAAATCTGGACCTGTGAGCCAAAAAACCCCTTTCTCCCTTAAGTTGCCTTTGTCGGGTTATTTTATCACAGCAACAGGAAGTGAAAGACAAAATTATTCTTTTTATTTTGATATATTTGATATGTTTCATTAAACTATTTCTTTAAAAAATAATAACCACAGGGGCTGGGGAGATGGCTCAGTGGTTAAGAGCAGTGGCTGCTCTTGCAGAGGATCCAAGTTTGGTTCACAGCACCCATATGGTGGCTAGAAACCACCTGTAACTCCAGTTCCAGGAGTTCCAACACCTTCTTCTGATATCCCCAGGCATTGCACAACATGGATAGACTTACATCTGTTGCGGGTGTCCTGAGGCCCTCCTGGCAGGAGTAGAGTCTGCGCGGAGTCTCATGACTCCAGGAGTCAGGCAAGAAGCAGGCAGTGTGAGCAGCTGCAGACTCGTTTATTGTGGATATGGGGCTCCCTTATATCCCCCCTCCCGGTGTCCCATTGGTCCATTGATAGGTTGTGTCTGTTCCTCATTGGCTCTCTGTATCGGGCCATTTTCGTGACAGCCGTCTCTATGTCTTTTGGCAGAACACAGGTTTGCCTCAGCCTGATGTTTTTGGTGCGTTTACAGTGCGCATGCGCTGGTTGTTCAGGCCGCACTTCCTCCTACATACATCCATGCAGGCAATGCACTCACACACATAAAATAAAATAGAAATAATAAATAAAAAAGTAACTGCATTATTTATATCTATAAGCACCTATTGGATTCTTGATATATTTTTTAGTTCCAATAAGCATCAAATTTGGTAATTTCCTCCAAAAGCAAAAGCAAAAGTT